GCCAAGGACAATCACGTCACTTTCTTCTCAGCCTGAGGTCAAATGTCATTTTTTACCTAATGTACAAGACTGAAGTTAAGAGCTAGTAGAAACTGGTTTTGGTTATTTGTACAAATAAGTAAAAAGTCAAAAAGGGCTTCCTTTCGTTCTTCTCCTAGAAAGAAAGCCAGATTGGAATGATGCTCTAGAAATCAGAGAGGACAGGACAGAAAAGCTCCAAGCATTTCTGGTGGAGTCATTGTTGTTGCTGTCTCCTCAGAATCCATTCCTCCCTCTTTTTTTAATTTTTTTTATTTAATATTTTTATTGATTTCAGAGAGGAAGGGAGAGGGACAGGGAGATAGAAACATCAATGATGAGAGAGAATCATTGATCGGCTGCCTCCTGCACGCCCCCCCCACTGGGGATCAAGCCTGCAATGAAGGCATCCTCCCTCTTTTTGTAACAGAACCTTCTTTCTGTTGGCAAGCTACCCTCCATTCTAAGTGGGATTGACCCCCTTCCCCAGTTTCTGGGACGACTGCTGTCTGACCAGAGTACTGTACCCTTCTGGCCACAGTAACTGGTTCAACAAGAGGCATGTGATCCAAGCCAGGCCAATGAGAGTTAGCCCTGGGACTTGTGCTGCAATAAGTAGCAAGAGAAGTTGCCTTTTCTGGGGAGTTGCCCAGTGGAAGGCAGAAGCTGGGCATTTTTGGTGGTCACTCTTACTGCACCTGAGAATGAAGCCAGCAGAGCTGAGGAATGGAGAATGATTCCCTCTGATGAGGAGACACGGGGATGGGAGGCAAAGAAAAGATAGTTGAAAATCTGTATGTACACCTTTGAGGCAGAAATGGGGTGGATGAAAAACATCTCTATCTCTGTCTCTACCTCTACCTCTACCTCTACCTCTACCTCTACCTCTACCTCTACCTCTATCTATCTATCTATCTATCTACCTACCTACCTACCTACCTACCTATCTATCTAACACTATCTATCTCAGCCTGGTACTGTAAGTTCAAAGACTCAGGTTTTAATAGTCATATGTGAGTCTTTAGGCACTGAAACCTCTAAGCCTTGTTTCCATCATCCAATACATGGGTTAAATAATAAACACCCTCCTGCATCCCCCACACTAAGGATCAAGCCCTCAACCTGGGCATGTGCCCTGACCAGGCATCGAACTGTGACCTCTTGGTTCATAGATTAATGCTCAACCACTAAGCCATGCCAGCCGGGCTGGAAACAAGGTCTTGAAGGTAGGGAAAGTGAATATATTTACGATAACTAAGAGGGAAAAAGAGACAAAAATCCACATTTCCTTCGCAAATGGTCTGAGACTTCTCTTCCTATACAGTGTATTTAACATGGGATAGCCCCAGTGGGGACACCATGATTTATTTTCCTTGGGGATGGAGAAGGGGCATTCCACGGCTCCCATGGTTACCCGGAGACCCAGCAGGAATAGGACTGAGCTCAAGGCCCTTCTCTTGCTCCTTTGGCTTTTTTTTTTTTTAATGAGCATCTGGACTTGCCTTTCCGGCATCTTGCAGCTGGCACTTGCCACTCTCTCCTTGTTTGATTTGCTAAATCTCTGTTTTAGTTCGCTGTTTCACACCCGCACTGACAGTCTGTCGTCCTCCCAAGGCCCCGGGACATCTGCCAGGCAGTGAAATCAAATGTGAAGTTAAATATAATTCAGCTGCACATCATCATGCCTGCAGTCTCCCTTACCCCTCCTCCTTCCTTCCCAAGAGAGCGGCGCGCCGAGGCAGTGGTGCCCGGGCCGAGGGAGCCTCTCCAAAAAATGTTCACTCCAGAAATTTTACTCTAAAGCAGAGGAGAAGTCCTGCTATAATGAACTCCTGTCTGCCTATCATCCAGCTTTAATGCTTATCAACATTTGGCTGATCTTGTTTATTTAATTTTATCTATACACTGAGTGGCCAGATTATTGTGATCTCTGAACGAATAATAATATGGCCACTCAGTGTATATCCTATATAATAAAAGGCTAATATGTAAATTGTTCCCTCAACCAGGAGTTTGACCAGCAGGCAGGCCGGCCAACTGTCCATGTCCCCTTCTCCTGGCCAGGCTGGCCGGACCCCACCCATGCACTAATATATATTTTGGAGGCTGGTAGGATCAGCCTCAGTGGAAGGAAGAGCTGCAACATCAGGCCCTTTGTCTGTAAAAAGACATTCCATGAGGAAAATGTTCAACAATTAGGACTCCTTTTATTTAGTTTGATTTTCCCCCCAATCAGTTATCATAAGTGATGCTGTAGATTGAAAGTTTGTGTTCCCCCCAAATTCATATGTTAAATCCTAACACCTCATGTGATGGAATTTGGTGGGGGGGGGGGGAGCTTCAGGCGGTGATTAGGTCATGGGTGTAGGGCCTCCATGAATAGGATGAGTGCCCTTATAAAAGGACCCCAGAGAGCTCCCTTAACCTTTCCACCTTTCGAGGACCTCGAGAAAGATGTGGTCTGCGAAGCAGGAAGGGAGTCCTCGCCAGACATGGAATCTGCTGGCATCTTATCTTGGACATCCAGGCTCCAGAACCAAGAGAAATAAAGGTCTAATGTTTATAAACCACCCAGGCTATGGTATTCCTTCATAGCAGCCCAAACGCACTAAGACAGGTGATGTTTATTTTAACTTATATATATTTCTACTCTTTCATTTCCTCCCCTACCCTTCCCTCCCCTCCCTCCCTCCCTCCCTCCCTCCCTCCCTCCCTCCCTCCCTCCCTCCTTCCCTTCCTTCCTAACCTTGTAATTCTTCCCTTTTAGTAGGTTCTCTTCCTGCTCTTTCCCATATCAAGCTTTCCTGAAGTGGATTTCCTGTCTTCTCTCCGGTAGGTCACATTACTTAGAATGACCCAGGGGTTCTCTGGGTTTTGGTGTGTGGCTCCTGTACCTCTTGGGACCTATGAGAAAGAGAGAGAGAGAGAGAGAGAGAGAGAGAGAGAGAGAGAGAGAGAGAGAGAGAGAGAGAGAGAGAGAGAAGAAGAAGAAGAAGAAGAAGAAGAAGAAGAAGAAGAAGAAGAAGAAGAAGAAGAAGAAGAAGGAGAGGGAGAGAGAAACATTGATTTGGTGTTCCATTTATTTATGCAATTCACTGGTTGATTTTTTTTTCTTTATTGATTAGGTATTACATATATGCCCTTATCCCCAATTGCCCCTCCCCCCTCTCATGTCCTCACCCCCCTGTATCCATTGGTTAGGCTTATATGCATGCATATAATTCCTTTGGTTGATCTCTCCCCTTATCCCCACCCTCCCCTACCTTCCCTCTGAGGTTTGAGCATCTGATCAATGCTTTTCTATCTATGGATCTGTTTTTGTTCATCAGTTTATGTTGTTCATTATATTCCACAAATGAGTGAGGCCATGTGATATTTATCTTTCTCTAACTGACTTGTTTTGCTTAGCATAATGCTCTCCAGGTCCATCCATGCTGTTGCAAATGGTAGGAGCGCCTTCCTTTTTACCGCAGTGTAGTATTCCATTGTGTAGATGCACCACAGGTTTTTTTATTATTTAAATCAATCTTTATTGTTCATATTATTACAAAGGTTCCTCATTTCTTCCCCCCTCTACCAGGTTCCCACTCCACCCTCCACCCCCTCCCCACCCCCCATTGTCCTCATCCATAGGGCACCACAGATTTTCTATCCACTCATCTGCTGATGGGCACTTAGGCTGTTTCCAAATCTTAGCTATGGTAAATTGTGCCACTATGAACATAAGGCTGCATATATACTTTCTGACTAGTGTTTCTAGTTTCTTGGGGTATATTCCTAGAAGTGAGATTACTGGGTCAAATGAAGTTCCATTTTTAGTTTTTTGAGGAAACGCCATTCTGTTGTCCACAGTGGCTGTACCAGTCTGCATTCCCACCTCACTGGTTGATTCTTGTATGTGCCCTGACCAAAGATCTAACCCACAAGCTTGGCGTTATCGGGTGATGCTCAAACCAACTGAGCTACTTGGCGAGGGTTGGAACGCTGCCTCACAGTTCTCCCAGCATCCACATCCCTCTCTTTCCCCTCTGCAGCTGTCTTACTTTGGGTTCCTCCAAGAGCAGCACCCGAGAGGAGGGCTCTGGCGCAGAGGTGTTTGGGAGGTGACCCTGGGAAGCAGAAGTGAGGGTGGGGAGGGTGAGACAGGAAGGGAGGAGCCAATTAAAGGTGCTTCTCTGATGTGGTGACTGGTGTGGGCACCGGGGCTCAATCTGGGTACATCAGAATTGCCCCTATGGAGGGCGGGAGGATGGCACATTTATCCACAGAGCCTCCTCGTCCCCCCTGGTGGAGAGACTCCTCCAGGGCTGTCGCTCTCCCTCTTACTTCCAGGCTGGCCGTGTGGGTGAGAGGCCTTCCTAAGGTGTCAGGGTAGCAAAATGTGAGGAGTGCTGTGCCAGGGAACTGCATATCACAGCTGCAGCTGGTCTCAGAGGTGGCCAGGGCATCTGAGTCTGCTAAGCATTCCCACTCCCATTGCTTCCCTGACTCCTTAACACTAATAACAACATGTTTCATTAAGTGCTTTTTGTATATCAGTCATTGGGATTTCAGCTTCTCAAACATTTTGTCACCGAGTCTTCTGAAGGCCTATGAGGGAGGGTATGTTATTCTTCCCATATACCGCTGACAAATTGAGGGTAAGAGCAGTTATATAACTTGTCTAAGGGCTAAGCACCCTCTGGGCTGGGAGCTGGGGTTGAAGTGAGAGCTGGCATGGGGGCTCTGTGACCTTCTTTATAACCTTGATTCTCCCACCCTCAGGCCAGAGACAGTAAGTTCCCAGGGCAAGGACCCCTTGGGGCTGAGGATGACAGGGTACCCGTGAACTTGACCGTGGTGGATTTGTGTAGTCGGACATCCCTAAACTTAGATGCTGAGGTTGAAGCCTGGAATAAATTGCTCTGTCCTTATGGAAAAATGAAGTGTCGTTTTTTTTAAAATATATTTTTATTAATTTCATAGAAGAAGGGAGAGGGAGAGAGGGATAGAAACATTAATGATGAGAAAGAATCATTGATTGGCTGCCTCCTACACGCCCCACACTGGGGATGGAGCCGGCATCAGAATCGATCCTCTTGTGCCTTTGATGGGACTTGAACCCAGGACCCTTCAGTCTGCAGGCTGACATGCTATCCCCTGAGCCAAACCAGCTAGGGCTGTGATTCTTGGTTGTATGAAGCTGTGCAGCAAGCATCTGGGGTCTTCGGAAAGGTCCTTCTGGGCTGACTTGATGCTTTTCTCACCAGCTTTTCTGCAAACATCCTGACTTTGGAGGTTGAACATGGCCAGGTGCTGTCCCCAGACTCTGCCCAGAGAAAGGAATGAATCTCCAGGCCTCTGCTCTGAGTCCCGTTACTCTGGGCTGGCCTCCTGAGCCACTGGGGCTGGGAGGAGCAGAGGAACTGCTCAGGCTTGTGGCTGCTCAGCAACAAGGCAGCTCAGACAGTCCCTGGTGGACGCCCAAGGGGCAAACACATCATCCCCAAGTCTCTGTTTCCCACCTCAGGTCGTGGGGGACTGGGCAGATCATGGCTCTAGCACCTTCCAGCCCCTGGGGCTAAGTGCAAAGAGAGTGTTGTAGAGGTGGATCATGGCCTAGACATCTCAGCAACACAGGCCAAAATATGCTCTCTTTCTTCCCCTCTCTTTTTTATTTTATTTAGTTTGCCTTGGGTTTTTGTTGCTGGCAGCTAAGGGAGTCTTGACTGATATAGAAGTCAGCCACTTCCCTCGGCTGCCAAGTGACCCCTCAGGCTGCTCCAGCCACACCTGACTGCACCTCTTCTTGGGCCTCCCCTTCCGCCCTCACCTAAGCTAGCACACAGGAAGAGACTCGGCCTCCGTCATCTGCTCGGAAGGCGAGTTTGTGTCCAGGTGCTCCTGGTCCCAGATCCCTGACATCTAAAGCCTGCTGCTGAGGCAGGTTCACTTACACTTACTGCCAACTAGACACTGTGCTGGGTCATTCTCCCACCAAATCTCCAGAGTCATCAGCCAGATGTTTTGGGGGATGGGGACCCTTGAAATCACCCATGGAAGTGACTCCCTTGGATGGGCCAGCCCTAGAGTCCCCTCCCTGGACCCAGGCTGAAACTCTCAGGTCTTCACGTACTGCAGAGATGACTGCTCTGCGCCTGCAACCAGAACGGCCTCGTCTTTGCGAGCCTGCGTATCTGCTTGAGCCTGCTGTCGAACTGCATGTCTTTGTTTGCTGGGGTTTTACTCGTTTATTCAAAAACTTGGTGCTTCTTAAGGCTGATGTGCAGACCCTCCCTGCCTCTGGGGCAGCATGTGCTCACGCTGTCAGTCCTGCGCTTCCGGGGATCCTTCAGCCCAAACAACTGGCGGCTGGCGGTGGCCACGCCCCCGCAGAACTGACCTTTGGAAGGATGGCTTGGAGGAGTGAGAGAAAGGGACTGGAGGCCTGGATAAAAATGTCCACTCAGGCTCTCTCCAAGCCTTCAAGGCTTCAGCACCCTGTGCTGAAGTCCAGCTGCTGCAGCATGTCCTGCAGGGACCCCTGCAGCCTGCTCAGGACCACCACCTCCGTGGAGTAGAGCGAAGCTTCTAAGACATCGTCCAGGCCCTCCAAGGTCTTCAGACTCCTGGTCCGGGGGAAGGGGCAGCTGTTGGAGGAGGCCATCAGGTGGAGCAGGTCCCGGAGGTTCTCCAGGTCGTTGGATATCTGGAGCACATTCCCGGAAGGCAGGCTGGTGAGGATCTGTTGGTAAATTGCCAATGTCTGGTCCATCTTGGACAAACTCAGAACAGGGTGGAGCCTGGGGATGAAGTCCAAGCCAGTGACCCTCTGTTTGGAGGAGACCGACCGCTGTGCAAGAGAAAGAGGGAGAAGGACAGCTCAGCGAGGCAGGAGACAAATCACTTCTCTACAGCCCTCGGCCTTCCCACTGAGTGTGGAGGTTTGTTTCCGTGGAAACAAACACTTGCTTCCTTTCCCTCTTCTGCACCATCCCTGCCTGCTGACCTCTAAGCTGACCTCCTGGACTTTTTGTCCTCCTGCCCTTCCCAAATCACCCTGCCCTCTACTTTCAGACCAACCTTCCCAGGTCATCTGTCCCTTCTCTGAATGGCCTCTGCTTTAGACCCAGCGGGACTCCCATTTTGTGCTGAGTTAAGTCTCTTCCCAAGGCACCAAGGTCCTCCATAAGCGTTCCCTCCCCAGACGTCTTCATTCCCTTCCTTTCCCAATAAATTCCCCCTTCCAGTCAGATTCACCGTGGACCTCACCCCATTAGGCTGCCCCCAGTGAGTGTCCCGCCTCTCTCCTCTGCTCCAGGAACTCTGGTTACCAGGAGGGCTTCCCCTCCCCAACTGCCTCCAGCACTCCCACAAGAGGGACACTCTGGACATGTCACGTGCAGCCTTGTCAAGATGACTATCTTGAAAGCAATGAAACCTAAGGGTTTCTCTCTGTAAAATGTCCAGGACTCTGTCTTGTTCTGAGCTGTCCCTGCTTCTGGCCACCTAACTTCTCCCTTCCCAAGGCCACTGTCACATGTCCACTGTGACCAGGAGATATGGAGGTCCATGCAGGGCAAAAAGCAGGTGTTTAAGGCTGGGGACTACAAAAACTACAACTACAAACTTTAATGAAGGCACACTCAGTTCTGGTCCTGCGGGGGGAGAGAGGAGAGAGAGGGGCGGTGTGTGGAGGGGTCACTTGCTTTCTTGAATTTAATCTCATAAAGACCTTATACAGACTACATGACACCATCTAGTTCCTTAGATATGAGTTCCATATCTAGATGATGAAACCAAGGCTTAAAGACATTGAGGAACTAGCGTAGGATTTTTGTAGATAGAGAACAGGTGTATAGAGATGTAGGAAATGGCTGAAGGGCTAGGCCTGTGGATCCCAAAGCAAAGACCCCAAGGGGCATTGATAACTGTTTACAAATACCCAGAAGTTGCATGTGAACGAGGGTGGACTTGCTCTTTAGTCTTGGCCACAGGACTAGCAATAATAAGGAGACTTCCTAAGGGCCAGAGCTCAGCTGCAACTAGGAAAAACATTTTCTGATAAACACATTCTAGAGATTCATAGAGATCCCAGCGGGGGGTCTGGTCACCTGCCAATGGGGCCAAGGACCTTTATGGCTCCCTCCGGTCCTAAGCACTAGGATTCCAGTCAGGGAGGAAGAAAAGTAAGAAAGCGGGGACTGATCAGAGGAGAGGAGAGGCAGCTGCTCATACAGTAGGAGGAATCAAGGCCACCGAAACCCCCACATGTCACTGCACAGACCTCTTCTAACCTCTGAGGACCCCGTTTCCCCACGGGCTGGCCACACGTCTGTTTTGTCTCCCCAGCCCCTCCCTACCGTGTGTGCAATGTCATTGATCCTGGTGACGATCGTCTTGATGAGGGTTTTGGTGTCATCCTGGACTTTCTGGATGGGCGCAGCGTCTGCGTAGAACAAATAGGGCCAAAGCCACAGGAATCGGCACAGGAATCCACAGCGCATTTTCCCTCCCAGATGTGTGTCTTGGGCCTAAAAGCAAAAGGAGCCACACATTACAAGTTACTTCTATCTCTGAAAAATACCATATGCCCTGTTACCAACCACAGTGCCGGATGTGGATCAAAATGAGATTAGCTTTCTGCCCTGGCTATCATCTCTTTAGGGTCAAAGACAATTCATTATCTAGAAAGGCATTAATAAAAAGCATTTCCTCAGGGAGAGGTGAGGCCCGGTCAATAAAACCACGAGGAGGCGTGCTGTAGACCACGGAGCAGAGAGCCAGGGCGTGAGCAAATGGACATGGTAGTGATGATGTGACTTCATTGTGTGCTTTGAGGAAGAGAATGGGCTTTTTCAATTCAGCCATTTACCAGCTGTAAGACTTTAAGCAAATCACATACTTGCTAAAAACTCTATCTTTTATCCCCTGAAGTATACCTATCTCCAAGCTTCCATAAGGATCAAATTAGATAATGCATGTGAAAGAGCCGTAAAGGTATCGTGAAATGGACTCTATTACTACCCCGTTGTTAGAGATTATGCCACTTGCCCTCCCATTACTCTCATAGCAGCCACTTATATCGCCATATGGCATATATCATTGGCTTTATCGCTTTCCCTCCCTCCCATTGGGAACCTGCATCCAACCAGCACTTAGGGAAGGACTGATAATATGTCACCGGCAGTTCTTGGAGCCCGAGGATACAATAGTGAACCACAGGTGTTCTCTACCTTCAAGTTTCTTACAGTTTGATAGGAGGAGGGACAAATAGGCAAACAGACCATTCCAATTCAGGAAAAAAGAGCTTTGCAAGAAAGGCAAGTACAAGATATCAGGGGTCCAAGGGGGCTTCCTGGAAGAAATGTCGCCTGAGCTGGGCATTAAAGTCTGAGCAGGGGTTAGGAAGAGTAGAAAGTGGTTGCCATAGTCACAAAGAAAGCAGCAGATGCAAAGGCACAAAGGCAGGAGAGAAGATATAGTATGTCTCCCAACCCCAGAATGTTTGAAACGTTTAGCATCCTGGAGCCATGAATTCTAAAGTTAACAATATGCGGATCCTCGATGAAGCCGCAAAGTTTTGATGAGATACACGAGGCAATGAGGCAAAAGGCAATAAAGTTAAATGTTTGTGAGTCTGTGGCCAATGATCTGTGCTAAGTGTATGTGGAGGAGCCTGAAATAATAATTAAATGTAAATACATTTTAGCATGAAAGGTCTGAAGGTATATAAAAAAAGTTAACCTCTGCTTTTGGGGTTCTGCCTCATCTGGATCCTGATTAAAAAAAGAAACACACACCAGATCATACATTTTCTGACCCTAAGTGACATTATTAACATAATTCCCACCCTGGAAATGTCATAGAAATCAACAGTCTGCTTATATACTATTTATAATGCCTGGTCAAAGGCATGTTTCTTTTTTAAAATTTTATTTTTATTGATTTTTTTTTACAGAGAGGAAGAGAGGGATAGAGAGTTAGAAACATCAATGAGAGAGTCATCGATCAGCTGCCTCTTGCACATCCCTACTGTAGCTGTGCCTGCAACCACGGTACATGCCCTTGATCAGAATCAAACCCGGGACCTTTCAGTCCTCAGGCCGACACTCTATCCATGGAACCAAACCAGTTTAGGCAAAGGCATGTTTCTTAAAATGTGTTTCATGGAAAGGACACGTGAGGCAAAAGTGGGTGCATTCACTTGCCCAAAGTCAAACAAAGGTGAGGGGCAGAGCTGAAATCCGCACTCAGAGCTTCCTTCCCCCAAAGGCTGGGCTCCTTTTCTCCCACGCCGCGGTTCTCCGCCTTCACGGGGAAGTCCAAGTCATGAACGGCTCCCATGCACAGTGGAGGGTGGCTGGCACTTGGGGAATGGCCCTTGGGAACAAAGTCCCCATACTAGGGTGAAGCTACGAGATTGTACCCTTATAGCCACTTCAAATATGAAACACATTCAGTCACTTGGCAGGGGGCACTTCAGATGTGTTTGTGATCGTTTGTTCTTTTAAAAAAGTTAAAACTCCTCCTGTTAGATACTTGTTACCTGAAGAAACGTCTCCACCACGCCTTTGTGGGAAAGAGTTAGATGACGCTAACCCCCCAGGTGATTCCACCAAACCTCAGCGAAGCTGTCAAGCTGTCCCAGGCTTTAGCCGTGGGCTCCGCCCTCACTAGCAGTGTCTCTGGGAAAGATACGTAATTTCCCTAGAGCCCTGCTCGGCCAACTGCAGCTCGCGAGCCACATGCGGCTCTTTGGCCCCTTGAGTGTGGCTCTTCCACAAAATACCACGGCCTGGGCGAGTCTATTTTGAAGAAGTGGCGTTAGAAGAAGTTTAAGTTAAAAAAATTTGGCTCTCAAAAGAAGTTTCAATCGTTGTACTGTGTTGATATTTGGCTCTGTTGACTAATGAGTTTGCCGACCACTGGGCTAGAGCATCGGCTCCCATCTGTAAAATGGATCTGATAACACCACCTGGCTCAAAGGGCAAATGACACAAACCTGTAAAGCCCTTGTTGGTGTGTGTGTGTGTGTGTGTGTGTGTGTGTGTATGTGTGTGTGTGTGTGATGAAGGGTGGGGTTGGGGAGAATAAATGCCAGCTGTGTTTGAACGGAGTAATTACTGGGGAGGGCTTGAGATACTTGGGCAACACTACCTGTAGCCAACCCTGAATCAAGCAAGCCCTTGGCTGGTTGCCTCCCTGGGCCATGAGACAGGGCCCCTGGTGTTCCTAGGTCTTCCCCTTGTGCACAAGATGGAGTTCCATCCTTTCCTAGGATTTCTGTGTTAATGACATCCTCCTTCCCACCAGAATTTATTACCAGACTAACTCTGGTTGTAGTTGCTCTCACATAATGGCCGCCCTGGACCACCTTAATGGAAAAACAGTTTATAAGCCCTCTCTATCACCACGCTCATATGCTCCAGTGGCTGTTGAAAATAAATTGCAGTTTTTCGAAACGTGGAATTGAGAAATTGCTGCTAAGTCATCCTAAGAGGAGAGGCCAGGCTTGGTAACAGGCCCATCTGAGAGCAAAGTGATGGAGAGAACCTGGCTCACCAACACACAACGTGTAACATACACTCTCACACACACAGCACACACATTACAAGCACGCGCACGTGCACACGCACACACACACCCCACACACTCACATACACAACACACCACCACACACAGCCTTTTTAGTAGAGGCTTCTAGTTGTCTAATCTCTAGTCTTCCCTTCTTTCCAAGTAATAGGACATCCACGTTTAGATAGGGAACTGGCCACCTAGAATAAACACGACACTTCCCAGCTTCCCCCAGATAGCATGGCCATGTGAATAAATTATGGCCAATTCAATACAAACAGGAGTACATGTGGCAGCTCTCCTGTTGTGCGCCTCCCTCTCTCATCCCTCCCTCCACCCCATGGATGAATTGTGGGTGCACTAGCGCACATTCTGGTGCCATGCTGGGTCATGAGGACCACAGCCTCACCTTACGAATAGAGAGTAGGAGCTGGAGGAGCCAGGTCCCTGAGGACGTTGTGGAGTTGAGATGCCACACTGGCCTCGGACTGCCTGAGGGACACGCCCTCTGTCTTGGTTAAGCCTGTTATTTGGGGTCTCTCGTAAATGAGCCAAACTTGATGCTAATTCACACGCCCAGACATGGGCGTCTGAAAAGAGTGAATCGAGTGTTCTGTGATTCACTTGAGTGTTACTAACTGGTGGGGGGCCTGGCTGTGACCCAGTGATGGGGGAATGGCTGGGAAGAGCAGGGTTTAGGGAGTGGGGAGGGGAGGGATAATTCAAGGCAGCGACTGCAACTTCATTCAGCTTGGCGCCTGACACATAATAGTTACTCACTGTACAGGGTATCTCCAAAAATGTATACACACTTCAACAGCTGATTCTATAACAGTCTGAAAAGGAAATGTATTTTAATGAGCATTGCCTTTATAATTGTTCAAAGTGGGTATACATTTTTTTGACACCCTGTATATTTGATGGTTGACAGCTACCATTTCACCGTCCTCTTTTCTGAACTGGGCCAGGGAATCTCAGTCCAGAAAAGAGGATGGTGGTGGTAGGCCTAGGAGTGTGGGTTGGGTGGTCACAGGAGTGAGTTGAAGAGAGGAGGGGAGGAAGAAAAGCCTGGGCTGAAGAGAGGAGGGGAGGAAGAAAAGCCTGGGCTGCAAAGCCTTTTTTTCTCTAGAAATTTCCAAAGCATTTTTGAGCAGTTAAGAGCTGTCATTTTTCTAAGATGAACTGCTAAAGTGTTGGTACAACATTCTGTCTCTTTCATTTTCCTCTGAGGGTTGTATAAGGAGAGCCTGGGGACAGAGAGGGGCACCACTTGGGAGGACACGGGGGCCAAAGGGACCATTGCCTCTAAGCTCTCCTTCCACTGGGAGTGCCACCCCCCCTCCCCGCCCCTGCCTCTCTCGCCTCTGCTGTCCTTTAATTAAGACCCTGCCACTCCCCAGCCTCTCTGCCCTCATCCCCTGCCAGGAGTGCACTGAAGAAGAAAAGAGAAAAACCAGAAAATGGAGCCTTCAGGGCAGCACGAGGTAATGAAATGTAATCACAGAAAATGGGCTCCAGGCTCAGGTAACCAGCCATGGGCCCCGACACAATTTCCCGCTCTCTGGCTTCACCTGGGTCCTGGGCGCTGGCCCCACTTCCGTCATTTTCAGTCAACACGCCCCACCTCGCTCCCAGTTGCCACTTGGGAGTTCCACTCGGGCACCTCTGCCCTCTCACTCTCCATAGACAAGCTGCCTCCTACCCCCCCCCCCCCAAACAAAACAAAACAAAACACAAAACCCTCCACACATGAGCTCCCTCCCCTCCCCTCTGTGCTAGGGGTGAGGCAGACCAAGTGGGGGCTTCTATGTCAAGGTAAAGGGTGCTGAGCCAAGGCCTGCCCACAGCCTTCTGATGACAGCAGTGGGGGGAAGAAGGGGTGGGGGCTTAAGCTATCCAATGCTTCTGCTGTCTCCTCCTGGCTAAAAGCTCTGGAGATTAACACGGGACCCA